TATCTGGTAATCGGAACAACTTTTTTGAAGAAAACAGTATGCAATATAACAACCATTTTAAAATTTCCTTGTATTTAAATATATTTTTATATGCTGATTTTGTACTTAAGGGTTTGTTAAACATACATTTTATTTAATTTCATATTTTTGTCTTCTCTCTGGCCATTTTTAATCTCCTTTCTACATATAGCTAGTCAGGTGCTTGCTTCAGGAGCTCGTAATACATATAGCTAAACATTAGGCCAGAAATATTCTTTGTCACTGATACTTGATTAAAATACTTAGATTCTTCCACTTCTTTTTTTTTATTAATTTTATTGAGAAAAAATTGCAATAAGACAGTTTCAAAACAAGTTGGTAGGAGAGTTACAACAATTAATGCATTGCATATTGTTGTCTTTGTAGTAGTCATTCATAGCACAAGATGCAAACATGATATCTCTAAAGAGTTTACACTCATTCCTACAAGAGACATCTATCTTTTTTCTTTTATACTTCTGTTTATGTTGGCTACTAGCAAAATATTAAGGTATCAAAGACACCTTGATACAGAATAAAAAGTTCTAGACTATTTTTTAGGAGTCTAAAGTTCTCATCTTTCCTCTGTTTTATCTGAGCTCCTCTGAAAAACTCTTGAAGCTAGAATAAGACAGATATTTAAGCCATCATTTTCTAAATTCCTGAAGTAGGGCCGGGGAGGTAGCTCATCAGAATAAGTGCTTGCCTGGCAAGCACAGGGTCCTGAGTTCAATCCCCAAAAAAAAAAAAAAAAAAAAAATCCTGAAGTACAAATCATTAGCAGTGCTTATTAAAAATACAAGTTCTTCATACTCTTAACTGAAATAAACAGGAATCATACATGGAAATATTGCTAGGGGAAGATACTGAAAAAATAAATAAGGACCAAAATGTGTAACAGATACTGGGAAGGAAGAAGGAAATATTCAAATAGAAGAGGAACAAGGGATGGGGAGAGGGAAAGGAAGGAAAAAGAAAAAAGAATAGAAGGAATAAAATGGAAACAAACTTATAAATAAGGAGGGGAAGTGCTTGCTTTGGCCACACGTAGAATGAGGGGAACAGAAGTTGAAGGGAGGAGAAGGACGAGGAGATAAAGCAGAAACAATAAATGTCATATACAGGTATACATTTCCTCTAATGAATGTGGTGATTGTATATATCTAAAATGTAGCATAAATTCATTTTAAAAATACAGGTTCTTTGGTCCCTAGTGATACCTACTGAATCAGAATTTTCAAGGGAGAGACTTGGCCTCCAATTATTCTTATCAGTAAAGTTTGTTTATATAAAGCAAAATTAAGATCCTTTCTGTCTCTAATAGTTATGATTCTGTGAATACTATCATTTTATTGCCATAATCAAAAGAATTTTAAATAAACAAAGGAATGTTAGAAAATCACTGTCTATACTCTGAAGTTTGACATTTGAGGTATCTTGAGTACAAATGAGTGTTGCAGTGCAAACATGTGCTACCTTATGCGTTCTGCCAGCCAAGTGCTAAGAGGTGCACGGCCAGCACCAGAGAAACCACTGACATAATCATCTATGTCTTTACCAGTTAGCTTGACTAATAACTTCTGTTTTTTATTTTGTATTCAGAGTCATTAAACAAAGTAAGTCAGAGAAGGAAATATTTCTTAGAAGGTTAGCTACAGATTAATCATTAATGCCACAGACATGAAACTGGATTATTCTTTGGGTAAAGGTTGGTGAGAGAGAGAGAAAATGAGGATAAGAGAAGCTAGGAAAACATGGTCAAAATCTGAGTTAAAGTTTAGCAAAATAACTAAAAAGGCTTTATGTGTTGATAAGTAAGTCAGATAGATAATGTAAAAATTCTGCAAGGGATGGAACCATAGATTTTTCTCCTTTGTATTTTCCAATAAAATGATACATTCTGGTGTTGTCTGACCTGTTCATGGTTTAGTCTTCATAGGTGTTGGTCATTCTTCTCCTTTTTCTTTTGATTGAGAACACATTATTTTGTTCTTCTCTTATATCTATGACTTAGCAAAAAAAAAAAATCCAGTATGAAATCCATCTATTGTCATCATGCTTATTGTGGTTCCTCCTCTGATAAGACTACGTGTGATGTCCTGGAGTCATTGCAGAGTTCATCCACTAAAAATTAAGGAAAATATTTGTAACAGTTCCTAGAAAATAACTCATTTAAAATGTTTGCACAAATTAAATTTTGTTTCAAATGAAAAGGTGGATTGATTTAACTTGAAGTGAAAAAAGAAAATGAAATACAAATGACTTTAGCAAAGGGAGAGTATTTGTCAAATATACATCACCAATACTTTTTTGAGCCCACCTTTTAAATTGCTTATAGGACATTTCTGGCTGAGCATCATGATGAATAAAACTAAAATGAACACCTTTCTTCTCTTCCAAATTCAATTTTGTGATGGTTTTCCCTCTTCAAAGCATTTCAACATCCCCACATTCCTACGTTTCCACTTACATAGTTTCCACACCTGAATAAGGGCCAAAGTAATTACTGATACTAATCTCTACCTTTCATATCTGCCATCTGGCCATGTGATTTGGGGTGAGTTATTTAACTTCTTGGAAGATTAGTTTCTGTAAAGTAGAGATAGTCATAAGAGCTAGAATAAATAAATATATAGTTTATATATACATATAACGTGTATTTAATTCATATAGACATTAACCTCGCATAAAACAGATGTCCAATAGATAGCAGCTATTGACATCTGAAATGAGCTTTTTAGTCTGTGCTCAAGATGTTGCATTCTTGTGTATCCTATACATATTCACAAAGTTAATATTTCTTAAAGATACCCAATTTTTTCTGGCATTGTTTCATCCTGTCTCATGACTTGAGACAGATTGTTTTCACTTCCTCATGCTTTACCTTTTACACAATCATTCTTTTGTGCACCACCCTTTCTTTGCCTATACCCTCGAGGTTTGATCTGAGTAAGCAGCTCCTAAAACTGACCAGTACAGGGTTAAACCTAGCTGCTGTCACCACCCCTCCTCCTCCTCCCAGTCCCCCTTTTCACTGTAGGCTGGCAACTGTCCTAACTGCCTACTGAAGCCAAATGCTTGAGGGGAAAGAGAGTAAGGAGCCAGCCATGAATCCTTTCCAGAAAAATGAGTCCAAGGAGACTCTTTTTTCACCTGTTTCCACTGAAGAGGTACCGCCTAGACCTCCCAGTCCTCCAAAGCAGTCATCTCGGGTGAGTCCTCCAATTCAGTTCTGCTTCTGACAATAATAACCTTGTTTTCTTGTCTTTCCTCTTTGGCTTCTAGAACTTCATGCTGAGCTATATTTGGGTATAAAAACTATTCTCTCATGCACTTCAAGTTTACCTGAAAAACAAAACTAAACAAAAGTTTCTTTTACTTAGCAAAAGCAGCTGCAGGAAGAGGGAGTCCAAGTTCCTCAATTGGGATTCAGGGCTTTGCTATGGATTTCACTGCATATTCTGAGTTTCTCTGGCAGGGAAAGAAAAGCAAGTAGAATGTTCAGGGAAATTTGGCAAGCATTTCTGCCTGAAGAACTGTGTGTGATTGTTCCTTTTTTTACTCAGTCTTTAGATTTCTCCGTGTACAGAACCTTTTGGATAATATCAAAAGTTTTAGAGTAGATTCCATCTCTGTTACTAAGTGTACCAAGTTTTTAGTAGGAGATAGGGAAGATAGAAAAAATAAACAATGCATAATATTTTATATTATATACTTTCCAAATTTATTATTTCATTCAGCCCTTCTATCAAAATCTTATGTAGAGGTTTTAGTAATAGTAGCCAGAATTTGATGAGTTCTTGCTATGAACTAAGAAAAAGTATTACTCTCATTTCCTGGTAATAGTAGCAGAACTGAGATATAAGTAGTCATGGTGACATGACCAGGGCCAGTATGTTAACACAGTCATTGATGGTGTTACACAATTAGTGACAACATGTTAGCTAAGTTACACTGTATAGCTCTCAAGCTATGAGCTGCGAAGGCTTGAAGGGCAGTTCATTGTATTTGTAAGCAAGTTATTATCATGCATTAACATATATTTGCAATATCTATTTAATTAATTGTATCTCTTCTGGTGCCAAAGTAGTTAAGGATGCTTACACACACACACACACACACACACACACACACACACCCCATATCTTATGAACCAAGAGGCAATATAAAGCTTATAAAATTTCACATTACAGCCTCAAGGACTGATATTTCCATCCTGCCACTCACACTAGTTGAACTACATTAATGAGTAGGAATTTGAAATAAAGCGTGACATCTCTTAGATTCTCATTGATGTAATACATGAGATAAGGTAGCTTTTCTAACGTCCATTAGGGTTATTGTAAAAATGCTATAGAATATCCTTAGTAGAAAGAGTGGACACTTAATTTTTTATAAGATTTGAGAACTTTCTCCCCAGAATCAATCTGATTAATCAGCTTATCATTAAGAATATCTCTCCTTCATATTAAGTTCTGTGCCTGGCTTCAGCAGTGTCTGAAGGGCAAACCCTCATATGCCTGGATTCTTTCCAGCATGTTAAATGGAAGGAAGAATCTTTGTTCTTCAAAAACTGCGGTTATTCCCTACAGTGAACCTGCGCAGAACACTGGCATGAGAATCTAACTCTTCACGACAGGTACTTCATGGACCAGTTCTTCATTCGTGTCTAGCAATAAGCACGATTATTCTCTCCACCAGAGCCTCAGCTTTTCATTTAGCAGTTGTGGCAAGAACAGTATGGTTAGCACCAAAGGCCATCCGAACAGTTCTAGCGTAAGTGAAAAGCAGTGTAATGTTCAGATTAGCTTCTAAGTCAGCAATACAAACACTTCTCGTGTGATAATAGGTTTTTTGTAGAGTAGAAACCATTGTTCTATATTACCTCCCATGGCTATTTAAAATAAATGAAATTTTGAAGCAATCTAGTGGTTGAAACCGGAAAACAGCTTATGCTTAAACCATTGCCTTTTTCTTGCATAGAAAATCTGTGGCTCGAGCTATCCATTGAGCATTGCCTTCATTGTGGTGAATGAATTCTGCGAGCGTTTTTCCTATTATGGCATGAAAGGTAATTTTGTGTCTCACTCTTTTCCACTCACACGCATCCCCTGTTTGTAGCAGCCTGGTTTCCTTAAATGCACTTGGCTCCTTCATTTGCTCTCTCTGCTTTAATATAAATTGGTCCTTTCCCTTGGCCAAGACCTCCAATAAATTCCTGATGGGATTTCACTTAATAATTTACACTGGTCTAGATCAAAATGCTCTGATACAAAGCAGACCACAACCTGTATGAGTAGAAGTGGAAAAGTTGTTTCCACTCATGTGAGTTCTGTTCATCACACCTCTTCCTCAGGTCTATATTTTTCTTGGGCAGGAGGAGGAAAGAATATTGAACACATTATGCTATATTCATTATTAGTCAGGAGGAGGCTATGAGTGTATACAGAGTGAGGGGAGGAATACCATATTGTGTATTCAGCATAGCCCTGTTTACCCTCATGGACACTGCTTCAATTACTCCTCAGGTAATGTCACTGAGAGGAGTAGGCTCCAAAATCACCTTCAAAGACCAGAGATCAAATGTATTTCTCCATGCGTTTTTTTAATATATTTGTCTTGGTTTTGCCTCCTGTTATCATTATTATTGTTATTTTTTAAATCCTAGCTGTGTTGACCCTGTATTTCCTGTATTTCCTGCACTGGAGTGAAGACACTTCCACATCTGTATATCATGCATTCAGCAGCCTCTGTTATTTCACTCCAATTCTGGGAGCAGCTATTGCCGACTCATGGTTGGGAAAATTCAAGTAAGGAAGATAGGCGATTTTATCTCCAAAGTTTCGAAGGTTCACTGTATGCAAGGTTGACATTTCTAACCTTTTACCTCCAAGCAAGAATTTACGTAGGTCATAAACAACAGATACGAGTTCTAACACTGATAGCACAGAACATCTACTTCTTTCTTCCTTCCTTCCTTTCTTTCTATCTTTTTTTTTCCGTTTTTATGTAGCTGGCTCAGACCACCCTGGAGGCAGGACTGGTGTGGCACGCAGTCCCTACACACTTGCCTAAACTTGCCTAAACTTGCCTAAGCCGAAGCTTTAGAATGCTAAGCTATCTCGCTGGCCCTCTACTTTCTATTATCAGTTTTTTCCATGTATTTATATTCTTTGCAATCATGAGGGTGTTTTTCTTTTTTCTTTTATTTTTCAAGAGGCTTAATGGTTGTATTGGTACGAATCACAGCTGGTGAACACCAAGCTTTCACCTGAAGAGACTATGCTCCAACTAGGGCCCAGGGCACCACTCCAAGAGTTGCTCCCAGGAGGTGGGGGGGGGAGTGGCACAGTAAGAACCCACAAGGTCCAAAGTCCAGGATGGAAAGGGCTCAGGGCCAGGTGACCTCAGCCAAAGCAGCCCCGGCAGCCACAGTGCATGCACTCGATGATGCGACCCACTGCCAGCTTGCTTTTGGGAACCCGGCAAATGCGTTTTGTCCCCAAATTGGTGTCCCGAGTCTGAATGCATTGCAGGCACCACAAGTTCTCATACCCTTGCTTTTTCCACTTTGCAATCAGGTTTTGGTCGGCACAGCCTTCTTTAATACAGTACTCATAGAGTTCCCTGCTTATGGCTTTCCGCTTATAAAAAGAGGTCAAAGATATAGAGGGTTTTCTGGTAGTGGATTCTGAAGGTGGGCCACAATGATTCCATTTTCCTCTTTCCTTCATGAGGTTCTGTTTCAGCTCCTCTCATCTTTTGATCCAATTCATCCAGTGTTGGCTCAATCAACTCCCAGCCATCTGGGGGAGCTTTCAGGCTTCTTTTTACTTTAGGTATTTTTTCCTCTTACAGGATAATTTGCTGAGATCTTAGGATCTCTTTCCAAGAGTGAAGTCGATTTTTAGTCTCTGCAGTTAGGCTTTGACTTGTCTAACTCTACCAAATACACTGACTTTGGAGAGATCACTTTCCCTCTTCGGTTCTCTGTGGCATAGGAAGCCTAAATGCTGAAGCCACCGCTTGTCCATAGACCGCTTCTTAAAGTAATTTTATTTTATTTTTTATTTTTGGTGGTATCAGGGCTCGAACCCTGGTACCACCAAAAATAAACCCTAGTACCTTTTACTTGCCAGGCAGGGAATTATACTGCTGAGCTATTTCTCCACCCAGTAATTTTATTTTTGCATTCAGTAAAGCCAAATGTTTTGGCCTTAGTGGGGACTGAGATTGCTACCACCAGCAAATTAGGCACCTTAAAATAGCGCCTTATACTTTCTTCATTTTTCCTCTGGGATATATTATTCTAATTTCTTTTGAATTTTCTTAATGTCACTGAATGGGATCTAAAGATGTCCCTCAATATGGAGATAGGGACCTTAACTCACCTCACACAAGTGGAAGGTTGAAGGTTTGCTGACATACATCATAGGAAAGAACTACACAGAGACACTTGAAAGGTTTAATAGGCAGAATGAAGGAATTATACACTCAATAGAGTACAGACATTAGAGAAAGCTGCATTACAGTCTGGGACTGGGTATGTGTTCTGGGGGTGGAAATCTGTGCAGATTTTTAATATTTAAGAATTTAGTTTTGGGACCGGGGAGATGGCTCAGTGGAATAAGCGCTTCCCTGGCAAGCGTAAGGGCCTGAGTTCAATCCCCGGTTCCGAAAAAAAAAAAATTAGTTTTGAGTAGATTAGAAAGGAAAAAATATAAGCTACAGTTTTTGTTTAAAAGTACAGTTAGCTTATATTTTTCATATTAACTTCCTGCTACATCCTGCATACCTAGACTATTTCCTGTGAGTCTTTCATCCAAAAGGTTGCTTTTTTTATGTAAAACACTTACATTTCTCACATTCATTCAGTCCAACAATTAGATACACATCTGACTTTCCTATGTAGACTATCACTACAGCTAAGACTCCCCTATTCGTTTATTTCTTTCTGATGAACCAGTAAGAATCATCTCTTCGATTCATAACAGCTGATCTTTTCAGTTTCTTCTTATTCCCTTTCTATTCATTCTTTTACCAATCTCCCTCATGAACATAGATGCAAAAATCCTCTATTCATTCTTTTTATCTCAACAAATAGAAACTTTCTCTAGATGATGACACAAGACCTTTTGGGAAAGCATTTCTCCTGCACTAATTATCTTTAGATTAGTCATCCCAATTCATACCCTCAGCACCAGTACACACCCTTTGAAGTCACTTCTACAGAAAGCCAACCCATAAGATAAGACATTTAAAATAAAGAATCTACATCTTAAGATTTCTGACATCTTTAGATTCTTTCTGCAAATTTAATCTATTCTTTACATTAGCACAAAATACTTTGAAATCAAAGAATACAAACTATGGAATTCCCAAAGCTCATTGCAACACTGGTGTAAGGAGAATAAACCTGAGGAGAATCTGTGCACAGATTCAAACAGATATTTCAGTTTGTTTTTCTCTATACATGGTCTTCTGAAATTCCTTCCTGTTATACTACTTCTTACTTGCCACTCTGGTTCCTTGGAAAAACAATATAGCAGAAAGAGCTCCCACTACTGCATAATTGTTATTACCTTTGGTAACTTGTCTATGAGGAAACTGTGGTGGTCATTATAATTAACCCAAGTGTTCAAATTTCCCAGATTGAACTTAGAAGCCCTTTGACTTTCTCTCTCTATTCCAGAGCTTTTTCTTTTTTTTTTTTTTTGAGAAAGTCATTTCTGTTACCGATCCTTGTTTACTTGGAGTTTATCCTGCATCCCTCTTGCTTTCTGTAGCAAAATACATGTTTTCAGAAAAACACCCCAGGTCAAGTTATCCTGTTCTGCTGATTTTACTAATTTAAAACATCATAACTCTTGCTAAAAATCTACCCAGTTCTTATTGCATCTCTGTATATATAGCATGGAGCAAGAGAAGGGAGGGGTAATTTGAGAAGAGAAGAACATTTGAAAAGAATGTTATCTTCAAGTAAACACTACAGGTGAGGAATCATACCTTTGTTTATTATTGTCGCTATTTGCATTTTTCAGTTACTCCTTTCCTCTTCCACTCCTTTCTCCTTCTGTGTTACTTAAAATGCCTGAATCCTGAGTCTATATGATTCAAGCAGCTGAACAATACACAGACCAACTAACTGATGTGACTTTCCCCACAGGACAATCATCTACCTCTCCCTGGTGTACGTGCTTGGCCATGTATTAAAGTCCTTGGGTGCAATTCCAATACTGGGGGGAAAAATGGCACACATGTGAGTAAAATCATGCAAGCAACTGAGCTAATTTGCTTCTACTGGAGATGTGTGTACTGTATTCATTGCAAAACTTCTATTTTATTACCAGAATTTCCCCTTTATTTTCCAGTTACTGTTTTATTACCAAATTGGTTAAGAGAAAAAGGTTGATGAGCAGTTGAATTTTCTTATCTGAGCTCGTCTGTTCTTATTAATTAAGCATTTGCAGAATATCTAGTTAGTATCTTGTTCATTAAAACTCTTCATATGCTCAAAAATAAAACTTTCACATCATCCATATCACCTATCCTGTTCATCCACTTCAGCAGGGATTAAAAAAAGATTTGTGGGGGTTGGGGAGGTGGCTTAGTAGAATAAGCGCTTCCTTGGCAAGAGCAAGGGCCTGAATTCAACCCCCAGTTCTGCAAAAAAAAAAAAAAAAAAAAAAAAAAAAAAAAGATTTGTGTTTCCTTATATTGTTCATTATTTTTTAAGCCATATTTAGTGCCTGGATATTTCCATTTATGTATAGTTCCATATATTTCATTGCTGTACATCCTTACCAGTGTTTATAGTGCCAGGAGCATTTAATAGGTTCTGTCTTTTGGTTCAGTCAGTAGCGAGGGTAACAGTTACTAAAGAGGCATGTCAGATGTATTCATGTTCTAAAGTGCCTCTACATGTATTTATTCTACAAATCAGGGGTTTTGTTTGAAACTTAATAAATATTAGGTACTTCCTTATTGGTGTACCATAAAAAATCACTGATACTGCTTCTATTCATGATGGTGGATTTTAATGTTTTATCTTATGGTTAGAAAGGTAAACAGTACCAGGCACAAAATCTTCCCATGCAATGCACATTTTCTAGAAGAGGCTCAAACATCATAAAGATGTGAAGTGCTCACGAATATTTCTTGGAGTGAAAGTAAATGAAATTTGCCTTCAGGATACAAATGTGATGGAAGAGTTTTACTCTTGTATGTTTTCCCCTTCTGCAGCTCTGTAATCCATCACTATAGAGTTACGTAGCTGTCAACATGCTTAGCTTTCTCACCTCTCCATTTCAGAATCCTGTCATTGCTTGGCCTGAGTCTAATAGCTCTGGGGACAGGAGGTATCAAACCCTGCGTGGCAGCTTTTGGTGGAGACCAATTTGAAGAAAAACATGTAAGATCCCTCTTCTTTCTGTATTTTCTTTTTTTATTTCTATATTTCCAAGAATGTGCAGCCAGTATCAAAAGGGGTTATCAGGCAGTTTGCCAAGACTAAGTAATTTGCTGATTAGAGCCTATCTCCCTACTCCTTCTTCTCCTCCTCTTTCTTCCCCACACTTTCTCTGACACAGAGCCTGCTCTCTCTATTTTCTCTCTGCATTCTTTTTTTCAAATATTTCTCTTACCATGTAGACTATGTGGACTACGTTATATTCTCTATCCCAAGATCCACGGATCATCTTTACTTGCTGTCTTTGGAGCAATAACCAATCTCTGGCAAGTGGGATTCTTTGCTCACTGAACTATAAAAATTAGATTAGTGGGATAGGTGTACAGGGAAACAGAAGCAGAAATAAAACAAATTGTAAATTGAACATGAGGAAGGACTGATTCTGCTACTCTGAGAGGAAAAGATCTGAGGTACCAAAATGAAGCACAAAAAGATATAATGACTTATTCAACAGCATGTTCATGTGAAAGTTGTATGACTAACTGGTCTGCAAATACATTTTAGTCAATTGGACAATCCACCTCTAAGATGTGCTAGCTGCTTTTAACCCTGCTGGTGACTTTTTATATTTTCTGGCAGATCTCTGTTAATCACTAGCTGAACTGTCCTGCTTGACCAACAGCTCACTACACTAGCCTATGTTCTTGTCTTATTCCTATCATACTCCTCAAAAATCTATTGTTTAGCTTAGACATCCATTTAATTAATATAGTCTGTAGACATCCACTGAGTTTCTAATGTATGTCAGATGCTAGGCTGGGTAACAGGGATTACAGAAATGAGTAAGATACAGTTTTTGTCTCCAAAAGACCAAGGACTTGCTGAAAGAAACATATAGTACAAATAAGTTATTGTTGGGATAAATATATACAGGACACAATAGTGGCATCAAAAATGATTGTTTTCTGCTCATATTAAGGGTTAAAAGATTGTTAAAGCTGTCTGTACTGGAGATTAAAAGATGACTAAATGATTTTTTAGAGTCAGCCAGCCATTAAATTTCTACCATAGAGGAAATATATATATATATATATATATATATATATATATATATATACTGTCTCTTTGTATGTGCCTCCCTCTGACTCTGAATATGAGGTAGGAATGGACTAGGGAGCACGTTGCACTGATTATTTATCCTGTTTGTTTCAGGCCGAGGAACGAACTAGATACTTCTCAGTCTTCTACCTCTCCATCAATGCAGGAAGTTTGATTTCTACATTTATCACACCCATGCTAAGAGGTTAGGATCATTTCCTGTGGGGTCTTGTCTAAGGCTGTACTCTAGGCAACTAAAACTCTGTTCCAGGTTTCCTGCAGTCCATCTTCTCCTTTTATAAGAGCTTGGAAATCAGTGAGAACTTCATTCTGTCTGCCCTAAAAGAAGGATTAAGAATTAAGTGACAGAAAAACAGAGGGTGGCTATGTCTACATCGTGAATCTGATCATCTTGAATACTTTGAGTATCAAAGGTTTAAGCTTTGAAGTTATCTCCTCATTTTCTTTAGGAGATGTACAGTGTTTTGGGGAAGACTGCTATGCATTGGCTTTTGGAGTTCCAGGACTGCTCATGGTAATAGCACTTGGTAAGTACAGTGGGGCAAAGAAAACTTAACAATCACTGAGAATTGCTACAAAGAAAGCATAATGTAATTGTTTTACATAAACTGTTTTTCATAATCTTCGCAGTAACCCTGAGGTGTTATTTTAGGGATTTCCCCCTTGGATTTGAAGAGAAACTACTAAGTCAGAAATCTCTAAAGAAGTACTCAAAATTATACATCTATTACAAAGTTTCTTGAGGAGCTTAAAAGAAAAGTCAGTCTCTGGGCCATATTCAGGACCAATCAGGCATCTATACATTATATTTTTAAATTATCTCCAGTGATTCTAATGTACTGTAGTAAAGTTTAAGGCACACTACTTTCTACTAAAATAAGAAGGAAAGTAATTACTCTTGCCCTAAATTGGTTTATATCATCTGTTGCTTATTCATTTGGTAATTAGAAGACATTTAAAATTCTGTGGGCCTTTTAAAAAGCAGCTCTAGGTTTAGCTATTTCTACTCTGCTCTATAAGGCTTTCAAAGAGTTTGCCCTTCACGTAGAATGTAAGAGGAGTTGGATAAGTAGGTGTGAACATAGATCAAGTGGCATTGCTTTTACCGGTCCTGAGAACCCAGTCCTGGAAGAAGAGGATTGGTGTGGGTGCATAGTTTAGGCAGCCTACGGAGAAATTTGGACATAATTGTTTCTAATCATTGGCCTGGAAACCTGCTCTCACTCTGAGCAATAGGGTGACACCCCCCTGGAAGATATCCAGTCTAAACACATAAAGAGCTCAACAGAGGAAAGGCCCTCAGAGACTCAATATTCAGGCTGATTACTTTTCACAGGGGATGAGAAGTGGCTGATAGTAACACTCAGGAGTCCCCAGTTCCAAGAAACTGTTCCAGAAGAACTATAACAAACTTCTTGCTTCCTTTTCCTTTCTATGCCAAGTGTTCCTCAAGTATATTCTTGGTTTTTCACTGAGTTGTACACACCTCCTTCTTTGTGTCATTCCACGATAGTGATATTTAGCTATTGAAATAATTATGCAGCCCAAAAGAAATGCTATAAGTGAAATGTTTTATGAATTATGAATTGTTAAATGCTATCATTGTGTATGCTATGGGACAGATTCTATGTTAGGTTTTGAGTCCCCATGGATGAATTAGACAGCACAGAGTTCATGTTCTCAAAGAATATAGACCAGTAAAAAGAGGAAGGTGAATAACTGAAGAGGAATTTAAAATTAGCTCCCCAAAATTCAAAGACCCAATCCAAAAATGGGCATCTGAGATGAATACATACTTCTCAGAGGAAGAAATACAGTGGAAAAATAAATACATGAAAAAATGTTCCTCAGCTCTGCTCATTTGAGAAATGCAAATTAAAACAACACCAAGATTCCATTTCACTCCAGAAAGAATGGCTATCATAAAGAAATCAACTAACAACAGATGTTGGAGGGAGGGGCCAGCCTGATAGCTCAGTGGACTAAAGCTGATTAGGCAGAGCGCAGTAGCCAGGGTTTGATCCCGGGGTGCTATGCTGGCCCTGCCCTCCAAGTGCACTGAGAGGGCAATTGAGACTGGGCGTGGTGGTGCGTGCCTGTAATCCCAGCATTTGGGAGGCTGAAAACAGGAGAACCACTGTCAGTTCAATCTACGTTGTGAGACCCTGTAGACCTTGTGGACCCTGTCTTTAATATAGAAAAAAAAAAAAATGCTGGAGGGACTGTGGGGAAAAAAACCCTTCTGCATTGTTGGTGGGAGTATAAAAATCAATGTGGAGACTCCTCAGAAACTAGGATGAGAGGTCCCATTAGAACCAACTATTCCCCTTCTGGGTATTTTTCCAGAAGAAATAAGAACATCATATCACAGTGATATATGTGTACCCATGTTTATAGCAGTGCAATTTGTCATAGCTAATTCTTGAAATAACCCAAATGCCCATGAACTGAGGAATGGATAAAAAAATGTGGAATTTTTATGCAATGAAGTATTACTCAGCTATAAAGAAAGAGAAGCTCAAGGTTTTTTTTAATAGGAAAATAAATGCAACTAGAGGCTGTATTCATAAGTGAAATAAAGCAGGCCCACATGTGTAAGCATGTTTATATTCTCACTAGTGTAATAACCTGAAAGAACAAGCAAAATCTGAGAGGTATAGTAGATAGTAAGATGGAAAGAAACTGAACATAAAGAATAAACAATTGAGATGAGGGAAAGGAGAAAAGATAGGAAAAGAAGGAAGGGGAAAATCATGTAAATATATAAACACACTAGCTAAGATGATGGTATTACTAATTTATATCAGTTTTTTGGAGGTATTGCTTAAAATTTTTACCTTGATCAGTTTTACATGCTAGCATCTGTAATCGGCACAACTATGTTGAAGACAGCAATGTGTAATATAAGAATCACTGTTGAATATGTTTCATCTTTTTATTTAAAAATGTTTACCATTTCTAACATCTTATCTATGATTTTTATAATTTCTATAAAATAAATAAAAAATAAAAAGGACAAGGGAAAAAATTAAAGGCTTATGGAAAGGAAGAGCTAATGTTTTCATTGATCGATCAATCTTGTATACCTATATCTGGTAGTTTGAGCAACAAATTTTTTAAAATTAATTTTATGAGCAACAAATTTGATGATAACAATATATAATATAACAATCATTGCTAATATCCTATTCTTGTTTTGAAATTCTGTACCATTTTTATTGTTTTATGTTGCTTTTTGTCCTTTTTTAAATGTATTTGGTACAGGGTCTCACTACACAGCTCAGACTTGTAGTGATCCTTCTATTTTCAGCCTCCCCAGCACTGGGATTACAGGCATGAGCCAACACACCTGGACTTTGTCAAAGGTTCAGCTCACCCAAGGGCAGAGCCAGCACAGCAATAGCCAGGGATCGAACCCTGGTCCCTTCACTTGCCTAAGCGTGCGCTTACCCCGCTGAGCCATCTTGCCAGCCTGCTTGTTGTCTTTGTTTTTATTATTTATTTTTGTTTTCTCCTCTTTAAAATACAATTTTAAAAGGGAATTTAAAATATAGCATGATCTATGTTACAGGTGGGAAATACAGAGAAAAGAATGGGAATTTATAGAGCAGTGATTAAGCCTGTGATGTGAAGGATGTTCCCAGACACAGTGGCACATGCCTGGATGACATAGTGTTTGGGATGAGCCTGAACTACATAGCAAGATCCTGTCTCAAAAAATAAAAATAAAATAAAATGAAGATAAGATATATACACATACATATATGCTAAATCAGATGTTTAAAGTGGTTAATAATTGACTTATAAAATAAATCTTCAATAGGTTGTAGAATAATAAAGAATTTAGAAAAGCATTTCTGCTAGATATTTGGATTGGAGAGATACCATAAAGGTGTTGATTTGACACCAGATTAAGAGAAAAAGAGACTAGAGAAGGCAAAACAAGTTGATGGGCAATTTAATAGTCCAAGGTAGAAACTGTGATGTCCCAAACAGGTTAGTAGTAATGGTAATGGAAGAAAGAAGACATGGAGAAATCCACTGAAGAAAGAGAGCCAAGAAAGTTGGTGACATCAGATATGGAAGTGAACAACATAGAATGTGAAACCAGAGATGACTCCCATTTCTGCAATCACACAAATGTCTCCACAGATACCTCTTAGCAGTTAAGCCCTTTATCTTCTCCTGCATTCCATAACTTATATAGCTTCAAAGTCAGGAAGTATAAGTTCCTTCTGTATGAGATGTGCCAGGTGCGCCCACAGCTCACCAGCCTGTCTTTAGATATTGAATGTACTAAATGAGTAGCTAAGAGCCTTGTTTGTGTATCACCTGCAGTTGTGTTCGCAATGGGAAGCAAAATGTACAAGAAACCACCTCCAAAAGGAAACATAGTGGCTCAAGTTATCAAATGTATTGGGGTGAGTCCATGAATTTTTTACCTGTCCTTTTCAATAAAAAGAAGAGATCCTATGGGAGGGAAAAAAAGTCTTCAAACAAGTGCATATATTTTCCTCAGTGATTCTTGTACTGCTTTCATGCCATCTGACAAGCTGAGGTTAACTCACCTTCCTCCATGCCTCTACTTAGCCATTAAAAAGAACAGAACACATTTTTCCATTTTTCATTTTTCCCACATTTTTCTTAAATTGGAAAATCTTGTAATGTGTAGATTATATGATGTCAACTTGAAATTAGGAAAAATAAAATTATATACCTCAAATATTTGAAATTATATATTCAAATATTCTGAAATTCATTGTCTGATGAGATTAAAGAGTGTAAGTAAGTCATTGAAAGTGTATACAGTCTACGGCCATACCACCCTGAACGCACCCAATCATGTCTGAAAGTGTATGCGTCTGAGGGAAGGGATAATAAATTGAAAAATACAAAGGTTGGCTTCTCTTTCTCTCTTGCCCGATATCTGTGCTCTGCCCTAGTTTGCCATTTCCAATCGCTTCAAGAACCGTTCTCGGAACATTCCAAGGCGCCAGCACTGGCTGGACTGGGCAACAGAGAAGTATCCAGTAAGTTGAAACTACAGAAACACTTTGTGGCTCCAGGGAGTCTTTCCAAATGAATTTTTTTCTGGTGTGTTTGACCTCTTATTATACTTCTTATATTAATTTTATTGAGAAATAAATAGCAATGTGACAGTTTCAAAACAGATTAATAGGGCAGTTACAATAATTAATGCATTGCATATTATTGTCTTCATAGTAGTTATTCATAGTACAAGATGCAGGCATGATATCTTGTCTAAATACTATTAGTACAAATCTTTCTTCTCATTGAACTAGAAAGTAGCTGAAAATCTATCCTATTTTGTATATACAGATATATACATATTTTTTCACTATAAAATAGTCCTTCATTTATATCTCCCTTTTTGTTTACTTTTGCCAGAGATGGGTATTCCATTGCCATTCATATATTGTAGGTATGTGAATTCAGCAAAGTAATCCAATATAGTCCAGTAATCCATAATAGTAGTGGTTATCCATAGGACTGGCAATGTCAGAAGTTGTTGACTTGAGCCTTTTACAGCTCAGCATATTAATATGGCTTTACTTTTTATACCTTGTTTTTATACTTTTCTGCTGGATGGTTAAGACCATGATAAAGCAAGACCTGTATAACAAAAAATGTAACTTTTATATCTGACAAATTTAGTCAAATCCCCTCAGGATTTATCTTGATACCCTGGACTGCAGTTTGTAGATCCTTTGTCAGTGTCAGTCATGTGTAAGTCACAGCCATTGCTTGACCAATTTGCTCTCTCTTATTATACTGTTCATATGTACTTTTTCTGTAAGCAGGGAAACCACTTTGGGAACACTGGACAATTCTACCTGTTCTTTCTTTCCTGCAGAAGCAGCTCATTATGGATGTGAAGGCACTGACTAGGATACTATTCCTGTACATCCCATTGCCCATGTTCTGGGCTCTTTTGGATCAGCAGGTAGGAATAGCTCTTTTCAAAGCTATCCCTGCATCCAGCTCTTCTCTTCTCATAGGAGAGGGATTTCTCACAGTAACATCTGTTCTCCCTAGGGCTCACGATGGACCTTACAAGCCACTAAGATGAATGGAGACTTGGTAAGTAGAAGAGGTTTTTCAGAGAAGACAATTCTTTTCATCATCCATATTAAATAAAAATTAAGTTATTTGTGATCTTTCCAGAAAATTAGATTAAAACCATTAGAGAGGTACATTTGGCTTGAAGGTACTAAGTCATTTAAACCAACAAACAAACTAAAAACAAAATTTCTCTTTACAATCATGAAAAGAAGAAGGATAGAAAATATTTAAGTGTATAAAAGGATACATTAAGAGGATAGCAAATAAGGGGCCCAGAACTTGGGTGGTGACTTCTTTCCACTGAGACATCAAGAGATGGTTCTCTTGTTGACTCTCTGAAGAGCAACTTCAGAAGCATTTTGTGTCAGTCAAATTCATCACCCGACCACAGCATATTATCCTCATTATTGCTGCATATAACTGTAGTTTCAGGTATTAATAAAAAGGAAAACAAATACCAACTCTATTCTCTCTCAAGCTAAGGAAAACAGTACAGGTTGAGCATCATTGATTCAAAGAGCCCAAGCTGGAATTATTTCAAAATCCAAACCTTTTTGAGCATCAAAATGATACTCTAAATGAAAAATTCCATACCATGAAAACATTTCATACACAAAGTTATTACAAATATTATGTAAAATCATCTTCAGGTTATGCTTCTGAGATATATGTAAAAAAATTTTTTTATCTGTAGGCTTGGATGTCTTCCCTGAGATATTTCATTCTGTATGAAAATATTTCAAAATCTCAAGCATTTTGGATAAAGAATTACTCTGTATGTACTTAGAAAAAAATATTCTCCCATAGGCCCACCTGCCCTCAGCAAACATAGCCAGAAGCCACCCAAAATCTGTTCTCAGTCCTAAATATCTTTATAGGTAAGATCCTTCAAGTCTCTGAACCAAAGACCTAATGGATTTTTATGTGCTTCTTCCCTGCTAATTATCAAGATGATTGATCTGCTTCCATCTAATGATCACTTATTACGATATTCTAGGGTTTTTTTGTGCTTCAGCCAGACCAGATGCAGGTAGGAGACTTCTCTATGGGCATGGGAGTACATTTCTTACCTGTGTTTCTTACCTGTGCTTCTACCTGTCAGATTAGCAATCATGATCTAATGTGTTTCTCCTTATATGTTGAGGAAAGCTATGCATAGAGATGAAAACATTCTCTTTAAATCTTATAACTTACCTTCCATCCTCTCTTAAATAAGTAGTTCCTGTGTAACTCTAGGGAGAGTGAATTTGAGTCCACAGGTAAAATATTAAGCGTCAGATTTTTTTTCTATGTCAAGGTAATATTGTCACAGAAGAGTGTTAAGACTTGTTATGTAGGCAATGAAGTTAGAATAGCTGTTCATTCATAAATTCTAGTTCTTTGTTTAGCTCCTCCTTCCATTGACCATTCCATGATCCCCAGTTCTTCCTTCTCTTCTTGCTTTCTTCTGGCTGCAACATTTCCCCATGGGCTGAGAAACTAAAGATAAGCAACATGGAATACAAGACCCCTAATATGATTAGAAGAAAAACAGGCTCCGAGAGAAATTAGTCCCTTGGGATATTTGTAAGCTAAAGTGTATTCACAAGAAATAGAGTCTTGGATATAAAAGGACTGAGAAGTGTGGACCCATTTTATACTTACAAAGGTGGAAGTGTTTTTGGATGTGAGACAGTACACGTAGGCAAATTAAAGCACATGGTCACACCCATGAGAGAACACTGTGACCAATACTTTTACTATGGCATTACAGGTGCTAAATCCTCTTCTGGTTCTTATCTTCATCCCATTGTTTGACCTTGTCATTTATCGGCTGATCGCCAAATGTGGAATCCACTTCTCGTAAGTACATTATTTTAGACTGTTTCAATATTTGCCCAATTTGATAAAGATTCATTATCAGTATGTTTCTGCTTAATGTGTCAGTTTATCATTGATCTGCTCCTGGTTTCCCTTGTGGAGCTAGTGACTATTCTACTGGAAAGTGGGAGGAAGATCTAACTACTGAGAGTTAACGTTAATTGTCTGTACTTAAGTGTATGATGTTGAAGAAATATGTCTACACTGTTTGAAAAGTTAAAAGTATAGTATATAAGATTAGGCCCTTAAACCAACTTGCTTCTTTTTTTCATGAATGTGCCCTAGTCTAAGAAATCCAAAATCTTTAATAACAACTCATTCCTCTAATTTTCCAGTTGTCTCTCTGAAACAAATGGGTACCTGGCAGGACTAAGGATAGAATTGTTCTTAGTTACTATTTTTTCCTTATTCTAAATAAAACTTATTCTTTGTAAACCTTGGCAGTGATGGATTTCAAACCTCCTTTCATTTCTAATTTAATAGCAATTTAATTGTGATGACAATGTCAGAGCCACTTTACGATATTCAAATGGCCTTTAATCAGTTACTCATTCATTGAACAGACAATAGGGATTTTGGACTGTGTACCATGTACATGTAAGTCAAGAAGAAACCTTTCCCGTGAGGAGTTTACTGATAAGGAAGTTAGAGCACATGCTGGATAACAATTAATACATGTTAATTACTCTAAGAAGGGAAGATTGAGATGCCAGGGAAGTACAGAGAAGGAATAGAGTCCTTTCTGCTGCCAGGGCCAGCAAAGACTTCTAAAGAGAAAAATGCATTAAAGCATGTACAATGCCTGGTATATGGTAAATGCTCAACAACTGTAGTTGCATTGCTATCACTTCTGATATTACATTGTGTTATAATGGATTTAAAACATACAAGCAAAGGAGGCAGCAGGAAAATGTGGTGTATTAGAACTGCAGTTCTATGTGACTCAAGTAAAAGGGGAAAAAGATGTATGAGAAGTTCTAGGAAGTACTTTGAAAAGTAATTAGGATTAAACGAGGGAAGGTCTTCTGTGATAGGTTAAAGAGGTTGAATTTTATACCCTAGAGCCTAAAGAATGGATATAATTATCTCTCCCTTTCTTTGGCAGATCACTTAGGAAAATGGCTGTTGGTATGATTCTAGCATGCCTGGCATTTGCAGTTGCAGCTATTGTGGAGATAAAAATAAATGTGAGTCTAGTAAATTATAAGCTCCAGGAAGACAGGTCATAGTACTGGTCTTGGTCATATTTCTGATCTGTTCAGTCTTGTTTCCCTGGGACCTAGCTCAGTACCTGTTTTGTAGGAAACATATAGTAAGTTTTCATGATAAATTAGTAGACATGGGGTAGAGCAGCAAAGGAAAATGAGGCCCACTCTTCTCCTGAGTGATGCAGAGGTTATTTTCAGAGAATTTTCAAACACTAATCTCTTAGATTTTTGTCCAGCTCTGGGGAATGCAGGCTTATCTGATGCCTTTCTAGATACCTGAACAAATTCCTTTTGGCACCAAATAAATAATCACTATTGGGGAACAAGTCAAAAATAATGAATTCATTTCCTGACATTAGTGCTTGCTGCATTGACTTTGTATTTCCATTCTAAACTACCTTTATTTTTTTATTTTTTAAAGAATACAAAATAGTGGGGCTGGGGACATAGCTCAGTAGAAAAAGTGCTTGCCTGGAAAGCATAAGGTCTTGAGTTCAGTCCCTGGTACCACCAAAAACAGAAAAAAAAAACAAAAACAAAAACAAAATAGTGATAGAAAAAACCCAGCATTATAAGCTATACAAAATTTCACTAAGCAAAGTAAGAGGAACTCAACAATACTGTATTGCATGATGCTATCTTTAAATTAGTTGTTCAGGTTACCAGATGAAAATGCACAAGATTAGGGGTTTCTAAATCACATGTTCATTAGTGAGAGAAAACTGTGTTCTTTTGGCTAGACAGGGTAGGCTGTGAGGGACAGGACTAAGGTATGAGTTTGCCTTGTAGCTCAAGGGTTATTTGTTGGTATTTATAATATATGTTATCTGTCCCAAGGGAATGGCCCCACCTCAGCCAGGGTCCCAGGAAATTTTCCTGCAAGTCTTAAACTTGGCAGATGATGACGTGAAAGTGACAGTGCTGGGGAAAGGAAATAATTCTCTATTGGCAGAGTCCATCAACTCTTTTCAGGTGAGGTATGGGCCTGAATTAATTAGAAACTTTCTATTGTTTATTGTTGTATTATTGTTCTGTGTTGTATTGATGTTTTTTTAAATTGACATTGTCTTATAAGCTACTTCTTGTGTCCTTACATAATCTTTGATAATATGATTTTAATGGCTGAATAATATCTATTTAAGCCTTTTTATAGATACTCATTTTTATTATACATAATCCTGTAATTAGCCTCTTTACTCATAAATCTTTATTTATGCCTCTAATTATTTCCTATGATATATTCCTAGATATGAAATAACTAGTTTAAAGAAAAAAATTATGTGTATTACTCACCCCGAAATGTCATGAGATTGTAATGTTCCAGCTGGGACAGAAAGTGAAACAGATGCTTCATTCTACAGAAACCAACGCACTATTTTAAACTACACCTAAACTCAAAAAGCCAGGATTTCCACTTTCATCTGAAGTATCACAATCTGTCTGTGCAAACTGAACATTCTGTAGTAGAGAATAACTGGTACACCATGGTCCTTCATGCAGATGGGGAAAATCTCTCCAGCATCATGGTAAGTTGAGGAATTGCCTGTATTCCAAGTTGTCATCTGTCAGCAAGATAACTAGCTGTCCCACTGTGTCTTACCAATGATCTGCCTGATGATCAAATATTTTGATTATGTGTTCCTTTTTGTCAGTTGGTACTGATTATTACTTTTCTCTCTTGTAGGTAAAGAATGTAGAAAACAAAACAGTCAATGGAATGACAACTGTCAGGTTCGGTTGCCAAGCAGACCCTGGGTCACTGTGTTCTCTTGAATCTTGGGTCTCTTCTGATTTCTGGGACTTCAGATGAAGAGACCTCACAATTTATTTATAATGAAGAGGATTTATCTCCTTTAGACTTTCAGGGGCACTGATATCTAAAGGAGTTTTCAGGAAAGTGAGAAGTAGATAGATTTGTTCTTTCCTGAAGTTAATCCCACTGCAAACATTTCTTCAAAATTTCATTCATTAATCTTGCTCTCAAGAAAATAACTGAGTACATTTTTGTTTACCAGAGATAAAGTGAACAAATTATTTTTACTATTTACAAGTAAGCAAATAATTTTCCTTTAATTTTTTAGTATGTGGGTATCTACTACTTAGAGTTGTTATATTAAGTCTGTAGAGGTATCATGGTGTAGTTCATATCTGGAATAAAAAGACATGATTTAAATGCCAGCCAAATAGCTCAGCAGATTAAAGTGCCTGCTTAGGCAGATGCAGGGACCAGGGTTCAATCCCTGGCATGCCATGTTGGCCCCACCCAGGGGACATGTTGAGACTGGGACTGGGCATGGTGGCACATGCCTGTAATACCAGTGCTGGGGAGGCTGAAAACAGAAAGATCACTATGAGTCCAATCTGTGTAGTGAGACCCTGTGTACCCTGTACTAAATATAAAATTTTTTTTAAAAAAACTAAAAAGACATGATTTAGAATTTAGGTAAGGCTGAAAGTCTTGTCCAGTAGCAAGGAAAAATCCAATACAGAGGTCCAAAGAGGTCACTTGCCTTCTGTGGCAGGTATTAGGTGTAAAATGGACAGATACAAATGCCTACTGCGATCAAGATGAAAGGGTTGAGAATAGCACTGTAATGGAAAGTCTGAATCCCACTGAAGGGTGGAACATTCATAATAATGTTCTTTTGATTATGCTTCAGAAAGCTAACAGCTTAAAATAAGGTCAAAATGAGGTCTAAGGGGCTGGGGAGATAGCTCAGTAGAATAAATGCTTGCTTGGCAAGCGCATGGGCCTGAGTTCGATCCCCGGTTCTACAAAACAAAACAAAAAAACAAACCTCCCCCTCAAAAAAAAAAAAAAAAAAAAAAAAAAAAAAAAAAAAAAAAAAAAAAAGAATAAGGTCTAAGTTCCAAACTGTGATCTGAAAGCAGAATAACTTGCTGGCTCATTAGTGTCTTTTCAAGGATCTGTCTGATGACCAAATATTCTGACTGTTGGTTCCTTTTTGCTAGTTGTTACTGATTTTTACTGTCCATAGGCTTGCAGAAAGGATATTTTCTAGGTGAGTATAGGATAATTTAAAGTCCAGAAGTAAGCATTTAGGACTCTATCCTTCTAATCCTTGGAGAAGAGACTCAAGCAAAAACTATCACAACAGAAATGTTTCAAAACTCATCCTGAGTCAATAACCTAGGTACTCAGGTTAGAAGACTAGAAACATGGTTTTGGAAAGGTCCAAGATTTCTACAGACACCCCAAAGAGTAGTAAAAACCTAGTATGCACTCTAAGTCTAAATCTTATGTGAGTTAAATCATACTTCATTTGTAAAAGGATGTCAGCTTTGTGTAAATGATATTACATCTTTATACATAATTATATTATTTGCTTAGTAAAGTCCAATCAATTCGATCATTGTGAAAGAATGAAAATGGACACATTTAAACTGAAAGAAAACCCAGCTTGTCCACAATGATCTTGATAGCATCTATACAGCTTGAGATCTAGTGAGGATGCAAAGGCGATAATACTCCAGAGAGAAAACCGGGGACACTAGACATTTGGTATCTTTCATGTGATAGCCATTATTCTTGGCACTGGAGCTATAATGCTAAACAAAACAAAAGGCCCCTAACTAGCTAGATATGGCAGCACAGTAATTCTAATGATTTGAGAGGCTAAAGCCAGAAAGTAGAAAGTTTAAGATCAACCTGAGCAATTTAATGAGACCCTGTGTTAAACTAAAAATCCCGGCACTTTGCGAATCTGTGGTGGCAAGACCGTAAACTCAAACCTAGCCTGGGCAGTGTAGTGCCTTAATGAGACCCTGTCTCAGAATAAAATATTTAAAAAGGATTTGGGATGTAGCCCAGTGAGTGTCTTAGGTTTAATCTTCCATGGAAAAAAAGGGAGGGAGATTTGGAGGTAGCAAAGGGTAGAACATTTGCCTAATATGCGTTCAAGTCCCACATTCATCAGGTGTCACTTATGGGTGTGCCTTTTTCTGACATGTAATTAATGTCTTTACCTCAGGTTTATTAACACTTTGCCCAGAGACGTGACCATCTCCCTGGGTACAGATGACTCCTTCACTGTTCGTAAAGACTATGGCGTGTCTGCTTACAGAACCATCCCAAGAGGAGAGTAAGAGCACTGCCCCGTGGACATTTTACCTTTATCAGCAATTGCTTTTTAAATGCTATCATTGTGTATAGGTAGGATATATATGGTAATTCTGGTGCATCACAATAGTAATTTGGGTAGCCATCCTGTGTAGTTAAGATAGCCTGTCTTTGTGAGGTTCTGCAGTTTATTATTGTCCTGGCTCTACTCTCTGGTACCTCCAGTGGTACTTTATTCCTTAGAATGTACTATGTTACACTGTTCTACCAAATCATAAGATTTGCATAAGAAAAATTCACCTGGGTTTGAAATCTACAAAAGAAGGTGATTTATGCCTTCTTTATTCAGGTTTAGAATAAAAACAGCAAACAATAGCAACAACAAAGACCTGAGAAGCAATAAAGAGCTCAGATCAGAGCAGGGAGCTAGCATAAAAATAACTTCCTCCCGAAAGTCTTTCTCTTGAAAGAGAAATGGTGCCTGCCTTGTTTTCCTCACCTCAGCACCACTGAGATCACTCTTGAGTTTCCCCTTCCTTCCCCTCCTACATGGAGTAGTTTGTAAGCTGTGCTGCTTATTCTAACTTAAACTTACTCTGTCCCAGGTATCCTGCAGTGCCTTGTAAAGCAGAAGATAAGGACTTTTCTCTGAATCTGGGTCTACTAGACTTTGGTGCCTCCTATCTGCTTGTTATTACTAATGTAAGTAAAGGACAAGGACTCCTGCAAGACAGGATTGGGACTTATTTCTAGAAGGTAATAGGTTTCTCCAGTGACTTTAGAAAGCCCGCTCTACATGGGTTATGAAAAGGGATAGGCATATGCAGTAGGCCAAGAGTACTGGGGAATGAGATACAGCGCCATGTGATGACATAGTTTGTTCAGTCTCATTGTGACTCTAAGAAACCAAAGATTATTATGCAAAATTTTTTATGTCTTCTAGCCTGGATCTTAGTTCCCTAGCTCCTTGGAAATTTGATCAACTAGCATATCACAGCCTGAAATACCAAGACTGGTAGTAAATGTTAATCTTTACACAAAGTTTGGGGATCTGTTAACTGTGCTTCAACAAAAGCAATAAAAGAGGGTAACTCTGAATTTTACTTTTGATGATGACTTTGAATATAATTTTGTTATTTCATAACTTTTGACTCTATTAAAGATAAAGAGTGGATAATCAGAGGGATAATCATTTCTAAAGATGTGATGAAAACTCAGTCTATAAAATTTTACTCGTTAGTGAATTTAATTAGCTTGATCCTTTTGATTATTTTTGTACTAGGTTTGCTAAGATATAATTAATATGCCATGAAATTCATCTATTTAAGCACAATGGTTTTATTAGCATATGCCAATATCTGTTGACATGTATTTACTATCCATAGAGAAATAATATTCAACAATACATGGTCAATAGCTATTTGTATATTGACATTGTTGTAGAATTTTGGAACATTTTTTTTATCACCTCAAATTAAAAAAAAACAGACCCACAAAATTCAAAGACCCAATCCAAAAATGGGCATCTGAGATGACATACTTCTCAGATAAAGAATACAAATGGAAAATAAACACACGAAACAATGTTCAACATCATTGGTAATTTGAGAAGTACAAATTAAATAGCACTGAAATTCCATCTCAACTTGGAAAGATTTGTTATCATAAAAAAAATCAACACTAACAAATGCTGGTGAGGCTATGGGGAAAAAGGAACTCTTCTCCACTATTGGTAGGAGTGTAGACTGGTACAACTACTGTAAAAATCACCATGTAGATTTCAAAAAACTAGGATTAGCGGTCCCATTAGAACCAGCTATTACACTTCTGGGTATTTTTCCCAGAAGAATTGAAAACATCATACCACAGTGATGTATGTGCATCCATGTTTATATGACAACAACTTTTCATAGCTAAATCTTGGAAACAATCCAAATGCCCATCAACCAAGGAATAGATAAAAAAAAAAGCTGTGGTTATTTTCATACAATGGAGTATGACTTAGCTATAAAGAAAGATAAATTCAAGGCTTTTTAGGTAAATGGGTACAACTAGAGACTATACTCATAAGTGAAATAAACCAGACTCAAATATGTAAACATCATCTTGTCTCCCTTGTATAAAAAACTAAAAGAGTAAATGAAATCTAAAAGTAAAATAGATATTGTAAAAGGAAAATACACTGCTCAGAAAGGCCAACTGGGATAAAGAAAAGGAGAAAAGAAGGAAGAGGAAAAATATATGTATAAGACAGCTAAGATAATTATACTACTACTTTCCATTAGTTTATTGAAAGGAACAGTAAGTGCTTATATTGCTTGATCAATTTTCCATGCCTATACCTGGTAATCTGAGCAACTACTTTCAACATAACCATATGCAATATAAAAACCAACCATTGTTCATTTCCTATTATCTTGTTTTGAAATTCTGTATTATTTTTATTGCTTTTTAGCTCTTTTTAAAATAATGTTTAAAAAGAACACTGACACCCATTGGAAGCTGTTCCCCATTTATTCCCATGACTAGGACCAAGAAACTCCTATGCCTATCAGTTTTCCTGTTTTGGAACATCATATCATTGGAATCATGATTTGGGGCCTTTTGTGTCTGGCTTTTTTCTTGTAGTATGATTTTTAAGGGCCAATCATGAAGTCACATGCACCATTCCTTCATTCCTTTTTGTTATCAAAAACATTCCATTGTATGGATATAATACTTTATTAATTAATTTATTTATTCATTAGTTGATGTACATTTTAATTGTTTCTACCTTTTGACTCCTATAAATAATGCTGTCATGAATTTTCATATAACTATTTTTTGTGGACATATTTTTTATTTCTTTCAGGTATATGCCTAGAAATAGATTTCTTGGGCCACATAGTACCTCTGCATTTAGCCATTTGTAAACTATAAGACATGTTTAAAGTGATTACAGTATTTTACATTCTGACCAAAAATGTACAAATGAGTTACAATTTCTCTGTGTCCTTTCCAACACTTGTTTCCTTTCTGACTACAGCCATTTTAGTGGGTATGAAATACTATTTCTTTGTGGTTATGAGTCTCATTTCCCTGATGGCCAATGATATTTAGCATCTTTTCATGTTTTTTTTTTTTTGTGCTTTTTTTTTGGTCACTCATCTGTCTACTCTGGAGAAATGTCTATATCAGATCCTTTGCATTATTTGTCTTTTTTGCCATAATTTTATTCATAAACAAATAGCAATGAGACAGTTTCAAATCAAATCAGTAGGAAAGTTTCAATAATTAACACACTGCATACATTCTTCTTAGTGGTTAATTGCTGTGCAAGATGCGGACATGATATCCTATTTACAAACACTATTAGAATACATTGCTCTATTCATTAAGAGAATGTAACTATATATCTATCCTAACCACTTTGAATACACAGATACAAAATGGACATTCATCTGTATCCCTTTTTTTTGTTAAGTTCTGTTATTTGAATATTATAGGTGTGTTAACTCAGCAAGATATTCTAAAAGAGTCCAGTAGCCCATAATAGTATTGGGTCTTCCGCTTAACTGGCAATATCAGAGATTGGTGACCTGAGTCCCCCACAGCTCAACATAACAGCATGGCTTTACTTCTTATATTTCGTTTTTATACTTTTCTACTGGATGGTTAAGACCAAGGTAAAGCAGGACCTGTGCAACAAGAGTAGTAGCTTTTGGGTCTGATAAGGTCAGTGAAATCCCCTCAGGATTTATCCTGAGATCCTGTACCTCAGACTGTAGAACCTTTGTCAGTGTCAGCCATGTGGATGAGTCACGGCCATTGCTTGGCCAAAGTGCTCTCTGTGAAAGCCTGAGAGAGTGTTTTCTCTCCATGTGACTCTCCATAGGCACACTCTACATCATCGATCACTTTCCTCTTTGGCCCCATAATCTCCTTGATCAGAAAATTTGGGACACTACTGAGTTACATGACGTTACAGTACAAGATCTCATATGTCCTGAGTCTTAATTGACCTTAGAAGGCTAGGGCCAAGATGTTGGCTTTCCTTGCAGCCCTCCTTTTTCTCTAATTTTGGTCTGCAAACTTAGGTTGTTAACCATCCAGAAGGCAAGTTTATTGTTATTATCATACAACTTAGGCTTAACTGCATTATTTGTCTTTTGCTTACTGGTTTGTAAGTATTCTTTATATATTTTAGATATGTCTGTTATTTGGTATATAATTTATAAATTCTCCCATTCAATAGATGGGTTGCCTTTTAACTTTCTTGATCTATTGAAATATAAATTTTGATTAAGTATAGTTTGTCTACTTTTTCTTAGGTTGACTGTGGTTTTTACTGTCATATGTAAAGAAACCATAGCCTAACCCAAGTCTATAAGGATTCATGCCTGTAGTTTCCCTAAGAATTTTATAGCTTTAGAGCTTATGTGTAGATTTTTAAATCATTTTGAATAAATTTTAACATATAATGTGAGTTGAGGGGTCATTTTCATTCTTTTTTAATTGATTTTTGACAAGGGTATCAGGATCATGTAAGGGGAACAAGAACAGTCCTTTCAATACACGTGCTGGGGCAAATGGTTGTGCATATAAAAAAGAATGAAAATGACCCCTCAGCTCATGTTACATGTCAAAATTTTTATCTGCAGGATATAATCTAACTAACTGAAGTTAGGTAAATGAATGTTGCACAATCAAAATAAATTTGAAACTGTTGGCATCGTGTTGAATCTTCAGTTTTTTTAAGGTAGCAGGATAAAAATAAAAAGAGGGGATGGATATAGGTCTGTAGAATGCTTACCTGAGACTTCTGACAAGCCTCATTTGCTCTTTTCTTTCAATTAGATCACCAGCAAAGGCCTTCAGGCCTGGAAGACAGAAGACATTCTTGCCAATCATATGTCCATTGCATGGCAGCTACCACAGTATGCCCTAGTTACAGCTGCAGAGGTCATGTTCTCTGTCACAGGACTTGAGTTTTCTTATTCTCAGGTAAGATTTTGTGAATGTCATTGGAAGAGGAGACAATGCTTGAAAGACAGTGGGTTTTAGTTTTGGCACTGCCTCAAATGGTCAGGTGATCCAAGCCAAGATCTCCATGTCTTTTGACCTTGGCTTCCTTAGAGATGGCCCTGAACATACATTTTTGACTTCCAGGATGATGGCAGTGCAGCATAGGAGGCTGTGCTGCTTGTGTTCTGGAAAAGAACACTTAAAAATGAAGAGGAAGGACTGTGGAACTATCCAAGTTCAAATTTTGGTTGCACAATTTATTGTATAAACTTGCACAAGTAAATTATCACCTCATTACTGTCTTTCTTTTCCTTGTGCTGCTTTTCTTATGTCTTAGTAGCACTAATAGAATTTATATGTTAGGATCACAACAAGGATTATAGGATAGGATGAGTTATTTAATTAGGATGAGTTATTTAATTAAAAGCTATACTTTATTCTTTTAACCCTATTGCCATCCTCTAAATCAATGTGATAGCTAAACTTAGTGGGGAAAGTTCAAATCTGGAAGATTCTGTAGGAGAAATTGCCTGTGTAGGCTCATGGGGCAGGAGAGTGGTATAGTTTGTTTACTCACAAACTTGTGCCTTCCTTAGGCTCCATCAAGCATGAAATCTGTGCTCCAAGCAGCCTGGTTGTTGACAATTGCATTTGGGAATATTATCGTGCTTGTTGTTGCACAGTTCAGTGGCCTGTTACAGGTATGGATCTGGGGGAAACAGGATTGCATGTCTACCCAAAGATTTCCTCCAACTTCCTCCTATCCTTTGCACTCATCTCTCTGTAGCCATTATCTTCCACTCAGTGCTATGATGTGAATGAGTTAGATACACAGACTTTACCAAGAAATAGACATGTGTTGGTGACACAAGTGACCACCATGAAGCTTATGTGAAGGAAGACCAGTGAACCCAGTGTTCTTCTACGAATCCATCTAAATGATCCCTCAATCTGTTCCCAGTCGCTATTCTTTAAAGATATTTTTCATTGCAGTTTTTCCCATATTCTTCTCTTTTTTTTTTCGTACAGTGGGCTGAATTCATTTTGTTTTCCTGCCTCCTGCTGGTGGTCTGCCTGATCTTCTCCATCATGAGCTACTACTACGTTCCCCTAAATTCAGAGAAGATGCATGGGCCAGCAAATAAGCATCATATTCATATACAAGGAAACATGGTCAACCAGGAAACCAGGAATACAAAACTCTGATGATCCCCTGCTCTGATCCTAATTCCTGGCCATAGTCCTGGCCATTCCTCATCTGCAAACATTGGTTTCTCCTAAAGGATTGGTAGAGAAAGGTAGTATCATTAGTAGAGATTCTCTTATGTGAGAGAGGTAATTTATGACTAGAGTTTCCAGTTCATCTTTTAACAAAGCACTTACCTACACTCAGTGTTTTCCCATTTATTAGCAAACTCAGTAAATCCTGTATAGTGTAGTTCAAGCTGGCCTAGTGTCTCAAATAGCCACAGAAATACAGTTATAGTTAAGATAAATCTTTGAGGGTATGCAGAGTTGTGTGTGTGATTCCCTCACGCGTTTAAAACGATAACCCCACCTTTTGGGGTACTGGTTAGGGGCGAAAGTGGAAAATAAAATATAGTACTTCAAGTTGCTTTATCAGCACTGTAATTGTGCTACTAATGAAAACCTCAAAGAT